CTGTGTAAAGTAGATAGAGAATAGGTCCAAGGACAGTACCCTGGGTACTCCATCTTTAATTGGATATAAGTTAGTGCACCGATCCTTTACTTTTACAAGGAAATGCTGGTCAGAAAGATAGGACTTGAGGATTAGAAAGTAGTTGAGAGGAAGGACTTGTCTTATTTTGTATAGCAGGCCAGTGAGCCAGACTTTATCAAAAGCCTGCGAGATATCCAAAAAGGCTGCAGAACAGTATTTCTTCTCTTCTAAGACTTTGTTAATGAAATTGCAGATTCAGTGAATTTGCTCAATGGTAGCATGTTGTTGTCAAATCCAAACTGGTGGTTGGGTATTAGCTGCTGTTGTATGAGGATTGGCTGTAATCTGTGTAGTAGTAGTTTTTCAAAAACCTTTGACATCACTGAAAGTAGACTGATAGGACTATAGGACTTATTTTCTTCTACAGGTTTGCCTGGTTTGAGTATTAAAATGATTTGTGCAACTTTCCACGAAAGGGGATAGTAACCAGTTCTTAGGATTGCATTAAAAATCTGTGTTAAATAGTGCCATCCTTTCTTGGGAAGTTCTTTTAGAATTCTTGCAGTGATTAAGTTGTACCCGGGGGACTTCTTCGGATTCAGATCTGTTTGGATTTTGTTGAAAACTTGTTTGGCAGTGAATTTCTCCAATGGTGCTTCTAGTTGGTATGGAGATTCTAAATACGATTGTATATTATCTTCTGCATCGGGGTTGTTGTTTTGAATATGTGGTTGGAACACTTCCTCCAGGTATTTTGCAAAGACTGTGGCTTTTTCTTTGTTACTTTTGGCCCGTTTTCTGTTACTGGCCCGGATAGGCGGATTAGAAAGTTGTGGTTGGTTCATTTTTCGTGTTGCCTTCTATAGTGAGTATTCGGAGGGTTCCGTGGCAGATAGATTTTGTAAATATCGTTTTATGTCAGTTTTTATTGTTGTTTAACAATGTTTTTAATCTTGGTTTTTATCCTGAGGTGCTCGGGTTCTTTGCCAGATTTTCCTTAGTCTTTGTTTTTCTGCAATTTTTTCTTTTATTACGCTGGGTAAGTGTTTTTGTACAATTGCTTTTAATTGTGTAGGTTTTGACTGCCAACCAGCTTCCTGAATTATTCTTTTTAATTGATCTACTGCTTCGTCAATATCGTCATCAGATTTTAGTGGTAAGTTTAGATCCAGTCTGTCATCAAGAATGGCCCAGAATTTAATCCAATTGGTATATTTATTACTAAGATATGGCTGAGACTCTGTTTCTAGGATATTTGTGGATATTGTGACCAAGACAGGAGTGTGGTCAGATGAAAGATCGAAAAAAGATTGTGATGTCTGGGATTCGAGTGGTATTCCTTTGGTTACAGAGAAGTCGACGAAGTCTGGAATTCTGTTTGTGTCTGTGGGCCAGTATTGGGTTCGCCAGTGGATATGTATTGTAGAAGGTTTAGTTTCCATTGCCATATGAAGGGGTCAGAAGCAAAACCGCCTAAGTAGCAAAATACACATTTTGAGAAATAAAGCATCAAACTTTTTGCTCTTTTAAAAATTCTAGACGTTCAAAATTAAAAATTTTAAAGTATTAAACAATTCAAAATACGTATAAAATTTTAAAGATACTTCTGGTGAGAAATTATTTTATTTTTTTTTACCTCATTCGACAAAAAAATGCACTTAAGTTGTTTTACCTTTAAGCAAAAATGGATTTATAATACACAAAAAGAACTAAACAAAAGCTTAATTTTCAATTAATATTTATTTTTTCTTAAAAACAACACCAGAGTTACTCATAATCTGAGAAAAAACCTATGTAGTCGTCTTGTTCGACGTTGGCATCTTCTTTGGAAGACTTAACAGTAGTGCTTCCTTTTTTCATTGTGTTTTTTTGCTGCTTTGACTCCTGCGGCAAATCATTATAAAATTGATGGTAAATAGGGATATGAACTCTAGCAACTGTTATAAATTTTGCCATTTTTGATACTTAAATTGTCTCGTACTTCTTTTTTCGTCTTCAGTTGGTTCAGGATGGTGAAATTTTAAATTGATGTCAGTATTGAAAATATAATCCCTCATCCCTTCCTGGGGGTTTATCGTTATCAGTGCAATTATTATCTTTGTAAAGACCATACATTTTGCGAATGTTTAAATCGGACGAAAGGTATTTCGTATTTGGATTTTGATTATAAGAGTAATGACTCCTATTACGTAGTAATGATCTGATATATTCAATCACTATTTTTCTTGCGTTCTCTGATACTTTGTTGGTTGGGACATATTTTCTTCTTTTATCAGGCTCCACAAAATTGTTTTTGTTAACTTTTTTACGAATAACCTTAAAGCGACTATCTCTGATATCAAAAGTTTTTAGGAAACAGTCTGCATACACGGCGGTCAAGAAGTTTAATTTCTTACTGTAATTTTTTTGCTATTAGCCAGTTTTTTTTAGGTTCAGTTTTTCTGATAAGCTAAAAAAGCTGTCTGCAGGTTGGTAAACTGTCCAACTTAGAGAAGAGTCGTTTACTTTCAATGTCGTTAAATATTCCACATTGGTACCTACACGTATGCATATACTCCTGGACACATTTCTTTCTCTTCAATTTTTCTCTGCTTTCATATTCTTGGCCAACAAGCCCCTTATTTGTGATTTTATTCCTCTTCCGTGCATGTATGTTACGCTTCCTTTTTCGGTAAATTTTAGGAATTACTGAAAAGGAAAAATATGTTAAACCCTTAAAGTTGAACTTAACTTCGAAATTTCTCAAAGTACATAACTGTAAGGTAGGTACTAAATTTACCGGTATTTACCAGTTTAATATTTACATAATAAATTAATTTTTGTTAGGGATATTACGCTTAAATTAAAACTAACAAGCTAAAACACAAACTTTTACTACTCAAATATTATACTCCACATGTGTGCTTATAGTTGCTTCCTCGGCAGATATTATAGAATTATCGCTGTCGTTATCTTCTTCATATTCACTCGGAATAAAATCAAATTCTCCATCTGTAACGTATGGATCACTATCTGACTCAAAAAATAATATCAAAACTCAAAAAACATGATCCAAATATTATAATGACAAAATATATCATTTCTACAAACAATAGTATCACTTGAAACACTGCTGTTAATCTACTAAAGAAGTGCAACCTACACGACATAAACAAATCTAAACCGTTGAATGGAACCCAAACAACATAAGTAATAAAAATATATTTATATCCAGTCGCTTGTTTGGAGGTAAAACAGCCTAGGTGCGCTAAGGCGATTTCTGCTCTTAACGATTGGTGAATTTCATTTTGGTTGTTTTTTCTATTCATCAAAAGATGGCGATATAGTAGGGTTAGAGCGTAGTCGATTTTACTACCAAACAATATAAGATATTCAGAACGTGAAACATCACTAAAGTCGTTTTGGTGAAAATTTTACTTAGGCGGTTTTACTTCTAACCCCTTCATATATAATTGCCTACTTTTCGGGATTATTAACCTGGATCCCCAGTGAGTGCGTTTTGCGTTATAATCGCCGCCTGCTAAAAATCTGTTTCCAAGGGTGTTGAATAATTCTTGGTATTGATTTTTGGCTATGGTATTACGTGGTGAACTGTATATTGAAGTTATTGTTAAAGGACCGTTCCAGTCTTCTATGCTAATACTTGTTGCTTGTATATAATCTCTTTTAAACTTATTTAATTCATGGTGTTTTATTTGATTATGATTGCAGTTCCTCCATATGCAGTGCCATCTGGATGTCTGGTGTTATATATTATATAGTTGGGGATTTTCAGATAACTTCTATTTGTAAAATGTGATTCAGAGATGAATATTATGTCGATGTTTTGTATTAATATAAAAGCTTTAACCTCTTGAGCATGATTTATTAGCCTGTTTGCATTCCAAATAGCTATTTAGAATGCTCTTTGCATAAACGAAAAAAATACAAAAACATAGGTGGTGGTGCAAAGATTGGTTGCTAAAAAGACATACATACTGACACATACATTTATTAGAAGAATTGCGATTATATCCAGATAATTTTAATTCCCTTTCGTAACATGTTCAAAAATTATTAATTTTCTTGTTTACCAACTCGTTATTAGTATTTGCTTTCACTCCTTTAGTGAAAATTTAGCAACCAAAATATTCACAACTTTTTTTCTAGCGATTTTATCATAATGATGTCGATTTTATTTTCCAAAGACATTCTGTTTTTATAAATGTCAAAGAGGTCTCTTAAAAACTTCTAGCTATCAGTTGTTTTTGAAATTTACAAGCTAATATTCTTTTTGCAGTCATACGATTTTGTCGTACTGTCTGACTTGTTTGTCTGCCGTCAAATCGCGCCGATTTGGTCAAATGCTGCAAATACACGATCAAATTATGTTTAATTTTGTACTATTTGATAAAATCGTACTGCGGCGTTGGAACGTGAGTGGCGGGTTTTACCGTTATAATCCCTTGCTATATTTATAAGGCAAATGTACTGAATTTCTTATTTTAAACAAGTCAGTAAGATAAGGAACTATTAATGTTAATGCCAAGGTTTCTCTTGCCTAGTTGTTGCTGGTATTTAAGATAACATAATCCCTTTCAAGAGTGAAATTTGCAGAAGTGGTGTTTAATAATTTTTGCATCCCATTGTGTTTAATGGGTTTTTACACATAGTTGCTTTTAAGCTTACCACAATATTTTTACCTCATTCTCTCTCATAATTTTTGATTTATACAACAAATGTAATGTTTTTTGCAATTTACGTTAGATGTTGCTTTTCCTAGTGTAATATGATACAATATGATCTAATAGAGATCATAGTACCTCGTAGCTATGCCCCACACCAATTCATAAAATTAAATTTCCAGAGATATCAATAGTTCATGTGTTATTTTGCAATAATTATCTGGATAACTAAATTGAAAGAATACCAGGTACAGAATTACTTCAATGATTTAAAATATGTTTTGAAATATGGGTAATATATTATTTCTGTTACAGGATGAAGTTAAGTGCATTAATGTGTATCTCCGCGTCAGGGGTGATATTAAGGAAAATGATTTATATGAAATCGATAAAAATAGTTTGGTATGTAATATACCAGAAGGCTCTTTCGCCTTTAGAAATGTCAAATCAGGTGATTCGATGAAAAGAAACTACTCTTTTACCAAAATTTTTGGCCCTGAATGTGATCAACAAACTATTTTTAATTATATCATCAAATCCAAACTTTTATCTTTTATTAATGGTAGGAGTTCCACAATATTTACATACGGAGCTTCTGGTTCTGGTAAAACATTTACCATTGTTGGCACACCAGAGGAACCAGGTTTAATACCTAGAGCTTTAGAATACTTGTTTAGATCTGTACCAAAATTGTCCCATAAGCCATATGTACAATTATTGCCAAATGGTAGCACACAATATTTTTCTACAAATCTTATGGAGATGCATGAACAGTATAAAAATTCTATTATGAATGCTACAATAGTTGATGAAATTAGGACATATAAGTAAGCATACAGAATTAATATTATTTTTTAGTAAACTTTACCAATACTCATAATTTCATTTGTTATGTTAGTACAAGATACCCACAAATTATAATTTCAAAAAAATTAATATAAATCAAAGAGTATTTAAAATAAATGTTGAGAAGTTAGCTTATACTATATTAGTAACTAAAAATTTTGTTAGTATTATATTGACAATTCATTGTTCAAACCAGAAGCTCTTTTCAAAAATACAAATTTTAAAATAAAACTATCTTACTTTGTTATATTAAACAAAACAAATTAATTACATATAATGGAAACCACTTATGGAATGAAATTATTTGTGTCCTTGTTTTAAAAATTTATAAAAAATGCTGGGACATCTCAACTTTTAATTCAAATGTGCACTTTTTAAACATAAATTTAAAATCTACAGGGTGATTCACATAAGCCTAACATAGTCCATAAGCTTTATTTTTAATTGAAGACCCTGTATATTTTTAAAAGCTGCTTAACAACTGATCTCAACGAACTATACAATGTATAGTCTATTATGAATAATACATGCTGAAATTTTGAAATTATAAGCGTGGAAACCACTTATGGAATAAAATTGTGTGTCCTTACTTTAGAAAATTATAACAAATGCTGGAACATGAAAAATTTTTAAATTCAAATGTGCGCTTTTTAAACATAAATTTAAATATAAAGGGTAATTTGCGCAAGTTTAAATATATTTTTATGCTTTGAGAAGCTAATTAACAACCTCATCTAAAAAAAAGTCTACTATGTAGCGTCTATTATGAATAATACAAGGTAATGGTTATTTAAATGGGAAAAAACCACAATTAAAGGTTAAAGTAAGTTTATTGACTTTTCAATATCCACTTCAGAAATTATTCTCAAAATACAAACAAATTCAAATTTCAAACAAAACAAATACAAACAAGTTCTCAAAATACAAAACAAAATTAAACAAATTTTGCTTTTTTGTTACTTCTGTGGAAGGTGAAGAAATTCTTCTAATAATTGAATTTTATCTGACTCATTTATATTGACAATCCAGGCATACATTATACGTTTTAAAGTAGACGACTTTAAAATTATATTGCCAATATTGTTGAGTTGCATTTCTGGAACGACTTTACTTGTAAGATAGTTCTTTCGATTACATGAAATTAGCTTTAACTTGAGAATATCCGTCAGAAAAAATCATAGCTTGTAATTCATCTTTAAAAAGACAACCACATGCCATGTTGACAGTAAAATTCTCTTGTTAGTGATTCCATATTAAATCATATCCAGCACGGTTTAGCCAATATACTGCCAAAGCAACCAAAGTGCAGTATTACCCCACACCCGCCTATATTTTTCTGTATATGTCAGGATTCCTACTGTAAGCTATAAGATTGAAGTATTTAATTACATATGCATAAATTGATTTTTCCTGCAAACGGATACCTTCCTGTTATCCTGTCTACCAACTAAAACCCCCCTCTCCGACTTGTGCGCAGTTGAATCACACGTACCGTACTCCGAAAGTGAGATGGCCGCTGTAAGGCTGACGAAATTTTCGGAACACTCCCTTCTCTTATCTAGATCTGTTGTTGGTTGTTGTTGTTGGTTCGGCTGGTGTTTATCTTCTTTCTTTTTAATTTCTGTTCGGATGCAATTTTGAACACTATTTCATCTCTGCTTACTTCCGGTAATCTTTACGATCATCTCTCTCATAGTCACAGGGTTCATACTTATTTCTCTATACATTATGTTTCACTCCACTGTTTATCTATTATATTCCAGCATTGTGTGAATAATGGAGTATTCGCAGTATAGGCATTTACGTGTGTCTGCCTTTCTGAACCTATGGAGATATTTCAAAACTTGCATCAGGAAACATTTCAGTCGCCTATGACCACAGTCCACCCAGTTCGTTAGGCTCACGATCAGCATTTTGATACACTGGGCAACATCTTCGACGTTGTTTCACTCTTCTTGACATCTTTCCATTGATCTTTCCCTTTCCTCTTTCTTACGGCTGTTGATAAATGCTCACTTCTCTAATAGACATGTCTACTTTCTACTGCTAACACTTGCAGAGGAACACAACCCGTGATAGTCCACAAGGCCGCCGCAGATACAGTCCTGTAGGCGCATTCTACTCACAGGAGACTCGTTCTGTCTACTCGTGTCATGAGCCCTTTGTAGGTCGGTATCTCTACCGTCCCACTCCCAACTGATGCCCCGTAAAGGACGATTGACGCCACAATACCGTATAAGGCACAACACCCACTTCTTTCTGATTTGGGCCCTTCAATGTTAGGCATCACCCTCCTCATCGCAGCCTCACTCTTCGCTGCCCTCTGGGTTACCACCCGTATATGCTCCTCCCATCCGCCATATTGGTGTAGTGTTACCCCATATTTTTGACGTATTTCTTTGTTGTTAGCTGTACCCCTGCACATTGGAGTTCCATCCCTTGTCTTTTCCGTTTACTCTTTAGAATGATGGCCTCGGTCTTCTCTACTGCTAGTTCTAGTTCGTGATCTGTGATCCAGTCCTTCACGACGTTGCCCGTATGTCTTACCCGAAATCTGAGATCCGGCTCATCCCGCGCTACTATCAGTATAGCGAGATCATCCTCAAAAGCGAACTGGTTTATACCTTCTCCATATTCGCAGTTCATGACCCCGTCATATGCCAGGTTTTATAGCGTCGAACCCAAGACCGATCTCTGTGGGACTCCAGCCGTTACGTCAACGAGCGTGCCCTTCTCAAACATAATCTTTCTCCATAATCTAGTCAGGGGGACCTACGTGTCTTGAGTGTATCTAATGCTTCGACTAATTCATCTATGGTAAAGGGTACGACCATCTCAACTCTTTCGTTCCTCCACACTCCATGCCATCTGCCGGACGGAAAAAGCTCTCGTGTTACATCAAGCTTTTTGTTTAGTGACATTTCGTATGAGGGGTTCGCATGGAACTTTTTCATTGCGATCCTGTATCCTTGACCAAAGATGAGCTCATCCAGCTTGTCACACAGTTCTCTCTAATGCCTTCTTTTTTCGGTACGAATTTTCTGTAGAATTCTCTCTTGCGCGGTATTCTATTTCGATTTGCTGGATTAGCTCGACGACAACAAAGTTTATCCCTGCTCTGCCCCTTACCCTCGTTATCCTTCTCTTCATGGCTATACATTTATCTCTGAGCTCTTCGATGTCCGCACTCTATTAGTAGGTATGGTATCCTGCTCACCTCTCGACGACCTATTCTACTGCCTTCTATAGCTTCTTTCATGACTCGTCCCAGGCTTTCCACCGTTGGCGTTTGACTCTCTATCATACCTACTCTCAATTTAATGAGTTCCTCATATATCTTCCAGTCATTCCCACCGCCGCATCAGACGCCGGACATCCCGGACGCACGAACCTTGTTAGTAGTTCCTGCTCCGGTTATCAAGAATGAGATGTAGCGATGTTCAGTTTCGTTATAGTCTGGCAAGATTGACCAATCTTTTGTTTTTGCTACTCCCTGTGTCACCATGGCAAAGCGCGCTTTGTGGTCTGGTGGAATCATTGGACCGTACTTCTTCAAAAACGATGCTAGCCAGAACGTTATAGTCAATGGTGACCGCTATAGAGCCATGATTACTGCCTTTTTCATTTCCAAATTGAACAACCATGATGTGCAGGAGCTGTCGTTTCAATAAGACGGCGCAACATGTCACACAGCTCGTGCCACAATTGATTTATTGAAGAAAACTTAAGGTAACCGCACAGTTTCACATTTCGGACCGTGAATTTACCTCAAGATGGTGCGATCTAACACTGCTAGACTGTTTTATGTGGGGACGTGTGAGGGTGCTAGTTTACGCCGATAAGCATGAATCGTGGTTAACCACTTGAATGGCAACATTCGTCGCGTAATTGCCGATTTACGGCAACAAATATTGGAAAAGTGATGGAAAATTGGACCTTCAGATTAGACTGCGTCAAAGCCAGCCATGACGGTCATATACCAGAGATCATATTTAAATTAAAATGCCAAAATATTATCTTTCGAATAATTGGTAAAAATCATCTTTGTTTTATTTCATTTCAAAATTCTATATCTCTAAAAAAATCTTTATTAGGAGAGAGATAGCAGCACACCAGCTGCAATTCCTCCATCCGGATGATCATACATCCTTCCTTTGCCTTTATTTTCTACAGAGTCGTACACCAACCCTTCCAGTCGCATCCACAAACCAGCCTCTCATCTTAACTGCTGTTGGGTTTGGCTCCGCCGTAACCAGTATGTCTATGTCCTTTTCCGCGGCAGCTGCCTGTGACTATTTTATTTTCCGGTGATCTGGAACCCATACTAGTGTGACACTGTATTTTCCGCCAGTCTGTCTAGTTCCATCCGCTATTTCGACACTAGCTTGGAGTCTACCTTACGGTGGATAACTGTTTGGATATCCGTGCATATATTGATCTGCTTTAGTTCAAAAGTCCTCATGTTAATTATTCATTTCTCTTGCATGGCGCAAGATTGCAAAAATTTGCTTGAAATATAAATGTGGAGTAGAAATGTTTACACCACTAGTGAATATTTCTGCACCCAATTCGTTTTGCAGTTTTAGACTCTGCAGCCTGGGTCGAGTGTTGTTGCTTCATCCTTCTTATGGGCAAATGTCCACTTGGAAAGGTACTTTAGGCCTGCAAGCTCAGGCTTTCTTACTGTCTATAATAATATATGCTAGTTTCTCCTCTTATAGTAATGCCAAAGGAGGACCGTCCAATAGAGATTACGTAGTTGCTGTTGGGCAGAAATCCGGTGTTTCCAAGACAAGCAAGTCTTTGCACTATTTAGATTTTCCAAATATGGCCAGATTGATTTTTTAAATAGATTTTAATGTGACGTAATAAATACTTGTTATTATGATATGACCTTTCTAATTATGGACACGTTGCGCACTTCTAATTTTATTTGTATTTAAGTTTTGATCGTTTTTTCAGGCAAATGCAAGAACGATTGAGTTCTGAACCTGTTGCTAAGATTGAAGATGATTCATATGTCTCTGTAAGTGTATGGGTTAGTTTTGCAGAAATTTACAATGAGATTATTTATGATCTATTGAGCCTTCCAGCAGTTCGAAATCAACCACGCCAGAGACTAGCTCTTGGAAAATCGCAAGGCAACACATTCATAAAGAAATTGACATATTTAAATGTCAGAAATGGTCTAGAAGCTTATCAGATACTTCAGTATGGATTACACAATCTCAATTACGCTGCTACTGCTATCAATTCTCATTCCAGCAGATCTCATTGTATATTTACCGTTACTCTAGTGCAGACTTCCAAACGCAGCGATGATGTGTATGTCAGCAATTTTAACTTCTGCGATTTAGCTGGATCTGAAAGATCAAAAAAGACCATGAACTTTGGTGATAGGCTGAAAGAATCAAACAATATAAACACATCTTTACTTGTATTAGGTTAGTATGTTCATTATACCAATATAATATATATATATATATATATATATATATATATATATATATATATATATATATAACAATGAATGGTGTTGGAATTTCGGGTATGCGGTCTGTTATTATTAAAAAAAAAACTCTTTTTTCTTTTAATTCTCTATATTTCGCTGATTTTTTGTCAGCGTCATCAGGAGACAACTAAAATATGATTAAAAGTTATATAAAAATCAGTTTAGAATAAACAATGACTCACTTACAGATTTAGAGTGAAAAGTATTTAAACAAGTTGTTGAACATAATTTGTTCAAAACAGTACTGACAGTATTGGTTAAAAGCACCTAGGTCACTAGTAATTAAATATAAAACCAGAGCAAACAAAAACAACCAAGAAACAATTAAAACACAATAAAATTACACATTAAAAATATACAGGGTGATTTAAAATATAATTGTTAACAGAAAAAATATTTGGAGATAATAAGAATATTACAGTAAATATTGCTCAACTGTCCCGTGTCTGCCTTGTAATTTACTGCATTGTTTATTCTAAACTGATTTTCTTTTTTGTAATCAGTTTTGCTATATATATATATATATATATATATATATATATATATATATATATATATATATATATATATATATATATATATATTATATATATATTGTAACAATTTATTGTATTGGAGTAGCGGGTATGCGGTCTGTTACTAAAAAAAAACTCTTTTTTTCTTTTATTACTCTATATACTCTATATTTCGCTGATTTTTTGTCAGCTTCATCAGGAGACTGACCAACTAAAATATGGTTAAAATTTATATAAATATCAGGTGAGAATAAACAATGATTTACTTACAGATTTAGAGTTAAAAATATTTAAAAATGTTGTACAGAATATATTCAAAACAGTACTGACAATATTAGTTAAAAGCGCCTAGGTCACTAGTAACTAAATATAAAAAAATAGCAAACAAAAACAACCAAGAAACAATTAAAACACAATAAAATTATACATTAAAAATATACAGGGTGATTTAAAATATAATTGTAAACAGAAAAATTATTTGAACTTACTAATAATATTACAGTAGATATTGCTCAACTGTCCCGTTTCTGTCTTATAATTTACTGCATATTTTTCTTTATTAATATGACACATTTCTAAAAACATTTTTTTTTGTAATTTTACTCTTGCTGTAGAACCCTTACATTTGAGTAGTCAAATTGATGCCCAGTTTTTAAGTAATGGTCACTGCCACACATGTATTCTTCTTTTTTGTGTAGTCACTTTTGTGTTGTATGACCCTTTGTTTTAGCCATTGAGAAGTTTGGCCAACATAACAGCTCTGGCAATCCAAACAAGGCAGTTTGTAGGTAACATTAGTTTTATTTACAGTTGGTGTCTTGTCTTTTACTTTAGAAAACAGTTGTCGGTTTTCTAAAAAATTATATTGGACAATTTTAATGTTATTAAATTGTTTAAATAAACTAGTGACAGAAGGTGTTAACTGTTTCATGAATGCTAGTTTTTTATATTGGATTGTTTGTATTGCTCCGATATCAGTGGGACCATAAAAAATGTCTTGGAGTTAAATATCAATTTTTTAAGAATATGTTTTGGGTATCCATTATTTTCAAAGATGTTTAACAGCAAATTTAAGTTTTTGTTTATGAATTTATCATCACTTATATGCCTTACCGTATTATTCATTGCAATCACTGTATTCAACTTTTGATGAGTAGGATGATTTGAAAAAAAGTTTAAATATCTTCTAGAGTGTATTGGCTTTTGATACCAATCTATCAATATTTTGTTTTGTTCAGTTCTTATTAATTTGGTGTCCAGAAATGATATCGAACAATCATTTTCAATCTCTAATGTAAATTGGATATATTTGTTAAAGTTATTGAAAATGTTCAAGGTATTTTGAATTTGTGAAGTAGGAACAGAACATATAAGATGGTCTACAAATTTTTTAATAAAGTGTAAACGGAAAGATAATTGTGGAATAATGACATCCAGCAAATGGTCCAAAATGATGGTTTCTATTATGGGGCTGAGTGGACTACCCATTGGTGCTCCAAATAAGTGTCGATGGAATTTATCATTAAAACTTAAATTCTTCTTCTTCGGGTTCCTTCTCCTAGCGGAGGTTGGAAATCATCATCGCTATTTTAACTTTGTTAAACTTAAACTTAAAACTTAAATAGGTGTTCTCAAAAACATAATTTAGAAGTGTTAAAAAACTATCCTTATAAATTGTTGTATAATTTTGGATGAGATTCCATTTTGACTGTATTATATTACTGACCAGATCTATTGGTATGTTAGTAAATAACGATATGACATCTAACGAAATTAAAACATAATCTTTCGGTAAAATCAACTCTCTGACATCATTAACAAATGAAAATGTATCCTTTGCATTATAGTTGTTCACTTCGTCAAAAGCATCTTTAAGAATGTTAGCAAGAAATTTGGAATGTCATAAGTTACCGAATTTATAGAGCTTACAATAGGTCTAAGTCAGGCATATTAAACATGCGGCCCGCGGGCCGCATGCGGCCCTTCAGGCATTTTCTTGCGGCCCGCAGCCCGATGATATCAGGTAATTTTCTGCGGCCCTCGAAGCCCAACCCAATGTATGTAGTACAATAGTTAAAACATTTTATAAGAACGCATTTTCAATTGCCTGCGACGAAAGTACAGACGTTTTTCGTGCTGTTGATAAAGAAATGAATATTTATGAAGAACTACTGGAATTGGTGCCTTTGCATGACACAACGACTGGGGAGGATATATTGAATGCTGTGTATGAACTGCTACAACGGTATAATTTGAATTTATCAAAATTGTCTTCTGTTGCAACTGACGGCGCTCCTTCTATGACAGGAATAAATAATGGCTTCATTAAATTATTACAGACCAGAATTAAGGAGACATACAAAGACGTACCAGATTTTCACCACGTTCATTGTATAATACACCAAGAAATCCTATGTTCAAAAGTGATAAAGATGGAAAGTGTGTTAAAAGCAGTAAAAAAAATTATTAACTTTATAAAATCACGTGGTTTAAATCAGCGACAATTTACTGCGTTTCTACGCGATTTAGAAAGTGAATACGCGGGCTTGCCTTATTATACGGAGGTGCGGTGGCTTTCGTGTTCTATGGTTCTCGATCGATTTTGGAAACTAAGGAAATACGACTTTTCATGGAAATAAAAAACCAAGATGTCAGTTTGCTGTCCGATGTATCGTTTTTACAAGATCTTTCTTTTATGGTAGATATCACAAAACACCTATCAGAGCTAAATACAAAGTTGCAAGGACCACGTCAAATTATTACAGACATGAACGATCAAGTAAAAGCTTTCAAGTGCAAGTTATTACTGTGGGAAAAGCAGTTAGCAGTTAATAATTTGTCGCATTTTCCGACATGCAAGGACTTCCAAGAAAATAGTAGTGTCGAAATTTCGTATAATAAATATGTCGAGAAAATTAGAAGTCTGCAGGCCGAGTTAGAGAGACGTTTTCAAGATTTTAGACTTCAAGATGCAAATTTTTCCTTATTCACAGGCCTTTTCTCCATTGACATAGAAAAAGTTCCCGATCACTTGCAGATGGATGTCATTGAAATTCAATGTCAGACTCACTTGAAACAAAAATTTAATGATGTTGGTTCATCTGAATTTTATAAGTACCTACCTGTCCAGTATGAAGAACTACGGAACTTTGCTTGCAAAGTGATATCAATGTTCGGAAGTACCTATCAGTGCAAGCAATAATTATTTTCCTTGATGAAAGGACATAAATCACCGACACGATCGCGATTGACTGACACACACTTGGATGAAGTACTGAAATTGATTTCAGCAGATAAATTTACTCCTCAAATAGATAACTTAATTAAAGATAAAAGGTGTCAGATTTCAGGGAAAAAATTGTAATTATTGCAACTTAACTTACCTACCTGTTGTGTTCAATTATTTACTTTTATTATGTAATTAAACTATTAAACGATTGCTGGACTATCTTTACTATACATTTTGTTTTGTTTGGCCGAGTCTTGCGGTGCGTCCCATTGATACTGTGATCATTTTAAAAATGGCCCGCTATGTACTTTTAGTTTGACATGGCTGGTCTAAGTGGTATACCTTTTTTCTTGATTTATTTCTAAGTTATTCCTCATTTAATAAGTTCATTATAAGAAAATTCTATCGTAATAGTTGGATCTCTTTTTAGCTGAAGATATGTAATTTTATCATTTAATAAGCCTTCTGTTTTTTTCAATATATTCGGTTTTGTTTATTGCTACTGTACATCCTCCCTTATTTGATTTTAAAATATAAAGATCTGGATGTGATTTTAAGAATTGCTGAGTTTCTTTAAATATTTTATTTAAAATACTAGAATGTTCTTTGTTGGAATGATTTAAGTAGTTTGTAACGACATTAGTAACTTTTTCTCTTAATACGTCTTTAGATATATCCGGTATTGCATCTATTGTATTTTCTACATCACCTAAAAAATTATCTAATTTAAAATCTGATTTTGGACAAGAAACCCCAAATTTTGGACCCAGAGACAGGAAGTCAAAAACATTTGTGGGAATATTAACAGAAGATATATTTTTTTATATACAGGTAATGACATACTTATGAGTAATACAGTAGATGGGTTCATTAAGCAATTATGTAAAAAAACTTTAGCTTTAGAAATAAAAATTACATGCAATAATTTAGTATATTTACAAAAATCTATTAGTACAGTTAAATTTCGATTGCAGAATATTTTACCGTTGCACATCATGCAAGATTTTGAAGCCAGTTTAAAGCGATCTTTTGATTATATTTTTGGAGATGTTAAGATAAAGAACATTAACAAATATGAAAGATTATATTCTAACGACACTCTTAAGTAAATAAGCTATTTAATGACAACAGTAAATGGTTCAAAAATATATCTTCTGTATACATATATATATATATATATATATATAT